AAACGGGAAATTTGGAAACTCTTGTGCCACTCTTCCTTTTAAAATCGGATTTAATCTCGGCGTTATCTTATTATTCGCATATGTGATGTAATTATGTATTATCAAATTATTTCAAATTTGATTCTAATACTCTTGATTTACTATTTACTTATTTGACTGGCGATGGGGTAGATAATAAATCCAAGGCGGTGAGAAGGTGAGGCCGGTAGATGACGCGGCCGAGGCAAAAGGTAAACAACGCCGGAGTCACGGAACCCTCAGCGTCCTCCCATTTCCTCGTCTTTCCTCGCATTTCCTCGCCACTACACTCAAAATCTGCGCCATGGCTCCTCTAGCTCAAATACTGGTAAGCATAGAAGCCAAAGGTGGAGGAGGAATGTATCTTGGGGTTGAAGGAGGCGGAAAACTCACGTCAATGGGATGTCAGATGTTGGGTCAAGTTGAGGCTGTTATTTGTTTACATTCTCGCTTTCTTGTGTTTTTTTAGGAAAATCATTTGTTCAGAGCTAAAAGTAACACCTTGCAGATTCAGTGGAGACTTATGCTGTTAGATTTTTCTCTTGTTTTGATTTTGTGTGTTCGAAAAGAAATAAATGTCTGCTAAATCAACTGTTAAACCCACTTTAGTATACTTATTCAAACTCCTTTACTCCAAATATAGTATTTGAAATTGTGAAAAGATAGGCCACAGTGAATAGAGTCAATTAATGCAAATTTTGTTCTTCTCACCTGAACAAAATATATCCTACTCTACAATTAATTGGAGAAGGGTAATCTTCATAGTATTGACGCACTAAGGTAGGGCAAATTTAAGTTGATAGTCTTCTAAAAGACCAAAATTTATAGTCATTAGTACAAGAAGTAATCTGCTGATATGAACAATAATGCCACAAATAAAGGAAAAAGATCGCATAATGCTCTGCTCACAGCCTAAGTCCACTAGGTGTTTCAGCTCTATCTAGACAGTATTACCCAGAGGGTGCCCCATTTACCCTCTCCTTGGGCAGTGCTCGAAAGGCCTTCCCAGTCATGGCAACTTAGATGTTGAATTAATTTTGTGACGTGGGGTTGGGGACTTAGACTCTGAATGCATCCACACTGTAAAGAATTACCATTGAGTGAATAATTGATAGGAATGAATGATGACTTAACAGTATTTTTTTTAATTGTGTATTAGAATAATAGTTAACATAATAAGGTTAAGGTAATCAGAGAATTTTGATGAATGATAGATTTTTTCAAATTGTTAACCCCTTGTTGACAGGTGCTTCCCAGCCCGTATATGGTACAAAATCCAGGCATTAGGCTTACTTGACCGGTGGTGTGTGGCTTGTAGGCTGGGTGTACACGAACACTCATGTGTTATAACAAGATTCTGTGCACCCCCTTTGCAATGTTATTTTCTCTTTTTCTTTAATATGTATTAGTAGCTTTTTTCCCATTTTCCAATGTCTATATGTCATTTGATATTTTATATCCAGATAGTAATAGACTTTTCCTTATAGAGACTCGCTGTCATCTCTCTAGGTAGTCCTTAATCCAGTGCAATAGTAATAACAATAAGTAATATTTTATTATTTCGTATCTTCTTTTTATTTTCTCATAATAATTAGTCTTCTAGAATACAACCTGTACCGCCAGTCATGGTGGCCAGGAATAGGATCCTGGAAGTCATTCCTGTCACCTTTGGCCAAAGTTCTCATGACAGCGAGTTCCTATCACCCTGCCGCTCAGCCAATTTTTCCCTAAGGGGCATGTTTGTGTCACCTGCCCTGCTAACCAAATTTTTTCATGATGTGATTTTCATGTCATCCAGATTGTAGGGGTTAATACCCTAATATATTTCTAATGGAATGGGGAGATAGCTTATGTTTTGCAATATTTGGAGGAATGTTTTCTAATCTCAGTCTGGTGGAGAATGGCAAAAGTGGTAAAATTCCACCAAAAGTAAGTGCTGTGGTATTTTACTCTAACAGTTACAAATTTCTGACATACTTTCCCTTCTGTTGGGGTCTAGTAATGGCATCCAGGGACAGCAGCACTCCAGGAGGAGGTGGTGGGACTGTAGGAACTGCACTTCAGCAAAACCCTCAGACTTCAAACATGACGGCAGCTGGCGTGGCGACGGGAGTGTCAGGGATGGCGGTGGCAACCTCAGCTTCAGCTGGAGGTTCACAGGCCACTGGGACGGGGGGAGAAGCTGCAGGAAGAGTCAGTAATGTTCAGCGCATACAGCAGAAGAAGGCCCAGGTGCGAGCATGGCCAAGAGACAAGAAGATGGAGAAACTTGCTATTTATTCCACGTGTAGGGTAAGCTGAGGTTTCTTTGTTATAATTCTACATGTGCTCAATGGTATTGAGATTCTACATTTGCTCTGTATGTGTATGTAGGTTTGTTTCATAAGATTATTTATTTAATTGATTTTCACAACTTAAAAAATATATATATATAAATTGACTTTATTGTCAGTTTGAATAGCTTATTATAATTACCATTATTAAGGTTATTATTATTATCACTCTAATTATAATGTTTATTGTGATTATTGTAAATCATTTATATATACAACATGAACATTTGCTCTTACATTTTAACAGGCGGATGAGAACTGCAGATGCAATGGCTGGAAAAATCCCACCCCCCCTGCACAGCCAGCACGTCCTGATACCCCCCAGCCAGCAGCCCCTCCCTCTCAGCCATGCAGGAGCTGCGGCCACACGCTGGGTAAGTAGCACACCTTTTGGGCTTAGGGGAGGAGAAATTGATAAATGATCAGAGATATGAAATGCTGATAAATGATCAGAGATATGAAATGCTGATAAATGATCAGAGATATGAAATGCTGATAAATGATCAGAGATATGAAATGCTGAAAGATGATCAGAAATATAGAACAGTTCATTCATATAAAAGAAGGGTTTTAACTGCAGTTTGTGGGGAAATTTTCTTCTCCTACAGTTGTTCGAATTGGAAGAAAATTAATGAAATGAAATTACATTTGATGTCAGTATTTTAACAATGCTGAATTTAACATTATCATTATAGGTAATAAGATAATGTAAAGATAAAGATAATATAAAACAAGAATTTATGTACCGAATCTTCCCAAAGGCGACCACGTAAGCCATTTAGAGTCGGCCGTTGACGACGACCTGGACCGGTTGCTCTCCATTGTTGTTGACGTCGAGAATCTCTTTATCTGTTTACACCGTGAGGAGGATCCTGATACTAAGCAGGTAACCAGAGCTTCTTTTAAAACACTACTATTATACTTTTTTTTTTATTATTTCAAAAAGCATTTTGCCTCATGCTATACATTTGAATGTCCTTGAAAATGAGAAGATTCAAATGCAGTTGTTTTGTTGGTTTATGTATTTCTTTATTTATTATTATTTTCTTTTAATCCAGTGTCTTTTTGCTGGTAAGGAAAATATAAGCCTAACTATTATCAAGAGCTCTTTGGATGAGTTTACTTTAAAAGTAATCTAGTAACTTCTATGTAGGGAATTCATAGTCATTTGTTTAAATTTCTCTGCATTCACCTTGTCATGAATAAAGAATAAAACTTTCCTTGAGATTTCATGTACACTTATCTTAGATGGATTTATTTTTTAGCTAGGTTTTATAGAGTTTATTTCCAGGAAAGGTATCTTTAATGTAAATAATGACTTTTAAATTACAAAAGTGCAATATTGCTTCTCAAGTTACATTACATTTTCAACTTCCTCAACAGGTGTATTCATACCTGTTCCGGCGGCTTAGGAAGTGCATTCTCCAGGTCAGCCCCCCTACTGTGGAGGGACCCCTAGGGACGCCCCCCTTCGAGAGGCCCTCCATCTTCAAGGGAGTGACCAACTTTGTCCTGCACAAGTTCAATCATTTTCAACAGAAGGTCAGCACGGTCCAAGTATGTCAGTTGATTATAAATAGTCAGTTGATTTAAACATTCTGGTGGTTCGTTCTGGTTTCTTTTTCTTTGCTTAGATTTTTCTGCTTTAAGGTTTCTTTTTTTTTATGCGTCTTTTGCAGTCAATTTTATGGTGGAGGTATAATGCTTGCTCTACGTGAGTGTGTATTATGCTTCCTCTCTGCGAAATTTAATATATGGGGTTTTCTTTGATGAAGTCAGTTAAAAGAAAACTTATTTTGAGGTTCCATTGATGTGTCTTACGTAGAGTGGAATGACAGGTAGGGTTAAATTGTTTGGGGGCTATTAGTTCATGAAACTTGATTTTTCTGAATTTTTAGGAGGTTTCTTGTTTTTAAGCAGCATTTGATAGGTCAAGGTACACCTTTCAGATTTAAGTAGATGTCATAGGTGTGTAACTTGCTTATAATATCAATCAAACATCAACAAAATTGAGAGGATCAGCCCTCTGAATCAGGATTAGTTGGGCTACAGGATTTTTTTTTTTTTTTTTTTCTCTCTCTCACTTGGCCTAATCCATTTTCAATGCTGGGTATACTGGTCATTCATGCAAGAAGCTACACTTTAACTCTATACTAACCAACCCGACAGAAGCAAAACAACAAAAATACTCTCAGATTGCAATGCCAGTGAACACACAACAAAAGAAAAGTGCCCTATGTATTCATCTTTCAGGGAGGGAAGAGTACAGTATACTGCTTACAATAGAAAAGAACGGAAAAAGGAAACCTCCATTAACACACAATTTCTCTATGCTCGTTTTCTACATGTAGGACTTTCAGATGATGAGTGACTTGGCCAAGATGTTCCTTCATTGCCTTAACCACTGGCGTCTGGAAACCCCATCGGCACGGCGCGCACACACTACCCCGGAGGAGAGTTCAGCATATAAAGTTAATTACATGAGGTCTGTTATACACTGGCATTCTTCACCTTCATGAGTAGGAATCAGGCAGGCTTGTGAAGTATATCTTTGTGCGCGCACACACACACACACACACACACACACACACACACACACACACACACACACACACACACACACACACACACACACACACACACACACACACACACACACATTGTATATATGCGTGTGTGTACATACGTACATACGTACATATACACATACATACATACATACATACATACATACATACATACATACATACATACATACATACATACATACATAGATATATAATATATAAGTTATGACTACTACTTGTCTCACCTGATTACCCGTTTCCTACATTTTTAAAAAGAGTCTCTGGTATCCAATTTTGATAGTAGTAGAGTCAATAACAGTTTAATGATGGCATTAGTGAAAAAATCAAGGAATGGTGAAATCTTGTAAGGTCATAACAGGGTCTACTAATTGACTCCTTTGTGGCTCAGCACTTGCCAAGCCATCTATATGCAATGACATTTCACAAAACAATACTACAGTGAATTCAACAATTTCTGGAGTCTTTGGGTTAATATTTCTCTATTCATTGACATTGTTTTTCTTTATTTTATTAACCCATTGATAATGGTTGTGCACAATTATATTACCTGTCTATTGTAGTTTTAGTTTACCAATTTTATCTATGACAGTTTTTGACGCACTTAGTCACCAAGGAGTCAATTACAAGCCTACTTGACCTTGGATTTTGAGAAAGGAGAGATTTTATTTTTATTATATTTACATTTACTTATAAAATTATGATAATGTTAATGATCACATTTTGCATAAGTCTGGTAACCCCTCAATGACGGTATCAGAAATCTCTCGGCTCTACTGATTCCAGTAACTTCTGGCAACTGTCCTGCCGTTTGGCTTGGGATTCCGCTACATGTAGGAAAATTTCTCACTCAACTCGCTCTAGTGTGTGGTGACACCTATAGCCGTACCTGTCATAATGAGTTGTTTTGTAATGATGGCTATAGAATTTATAGTCATAGAAGTAATAGAAATTGAAACAGTCCCTCCAGATTTAGGAATGATGTAAATAGGTTGGAGGAATGTCTAGTAATTTGCATTTAGGAAGCCGTCTAAGTGTAAACAAACTTAATGCAACAGAACTACAGGGGACGGTGCAAGTACATGTCATGAATAGGTTAATAGAAATATTTTTACTGTCATCTTTACTACAATTTTTTAAATGTCAAATCAGCCTATCACTATCTTCTGTACATATTTATTATGATACTTCTTACTGTTTGTCATTAGATATACCTTCTGCAGTTCCTATACATTCATTTCTTTGCCTTTAGAGAAAAACTAAATTATGTTTGCCATCAACAGGTGGCTGTGCTTCAGCTATGTACCTCAGCTGTGCGATTCCCTCCCACACCATGAAACCACAGCTATCTTCGGGCGGACTTTCCTGCGAGCTGTTTTCCACACCTTGCGCAAGCAGCTCTTAGACAAGTTCAGGGCAGAGAAGGACAAGATGCCTGCCGAGAAGAAGTTATTGCTGCTTAATCAGTTCCCAAAGTAAGTTTAATTTTTCTTTTTTTAATTCTTTCTTTGTTATTGTCTTGTCTTGTATATTTTGCTCTAACTCCTTCTCCTCCTCCTCCTCCTCCTCTGCTCCCTTTTTCTTTTTTAATTGCTTGATTTTTATTTCTCACACTTTCCCTCTGTCTTCCTGACCAGGTTCTTGTCCATGTTGGAAGAAGAAGTTTACTCAAACTCTTCCCCCATCTGGGATGCAGACTACCGCCCGCAGCTTCCCCCACACCTCCACAACCAGGCAGCTGAAAGAGGTTTGTGGAACGTTTTTTTTTTTTTTCCCTCTTTCTCTGTTTGTTTCGCAGTGCCAAGGTTGAATGTAAAGGGATGGTTTGGTCTGTGGGGAAATGATAGAAATAGAAAGTCAGTATTCACTCCTTTTTTGCAATATAGGGCTTATCTTAAGCGGGGAACTTTCATTCGAGTTGGTTTCTTACATCAGCAAAGGTTACAGTCTGAAATCCCTTCCAAATATACCATGAGCCATTCCCCACTGGTTAAACAAAATGCAATTCAATAGACTACTTTTTAAAAGTCATTATTATTTGATATTTATTATACTTATTATTATGCTGTTGTACTCTGTTATTCCTAATAAGTCTAACTAATTGTCAATTTTTTCTCTTTAGCTGGTAATACTGCTAGTCGTGGAGAGTTTGAGAGGTTATCGGTGCAGCCTGGAGAGGGACAGTACACAGTAGTGAGTTTGACGTCTAGTAGTGCCAGGAGGGCCCGGCCAGATGACAGGTTTGTCTATGTGTTTGTTTATTTGATGTAGGGATAGTTAAATTAAAGTAAAAAAAGATATCCTGGATGATTTTTAAATGTTTTAATTGATACAAAGATTACATTTTTATTCTGTTTTTAATGGGTAAACAAAAATATATATGTTATACTCACTCTGTTAGTATTTATGGCTAAAGAAATATGTAAAGTTAATACTAGAAATCCTTCCCGGCAAAGGGGAGAAAAGCGGGAAGGAGACGACCTTTCGGAGAGCAGCAGCAAGAGACTGAAAATCGAGACGGAAGACTTGGGAGAGGAGACCGTTGCCGAGGTCGTTGCCACCATTACCGACCCCAGGCAGATGGTTGGCCCTGAGGTCCTCTTCTCTGAAAATGCAGCGAGAGACGAAGCCGCTAAGGTTGTAACTACATTAGGAGAATGCCTTCTTACTGAATGAATACTTTGTGATGCTTTGCTCAGTGAATTTGGGCAAGTAATTGACTGTGCTGCATGAAAATATCACAGATGAGTATCCTAACAGCAGTATTGTTACAAGACTTACCCTGGTTTACTATTTGGCTTTTAGTTGGAGGAGCGTAAAGGCAACATCGAGTTCCATGTGATTGGGAACTCCCTCACGCAGAAGGTGTCGAAGCAGACCATGTTGTGGCTCATTGGCCTCCAGAATGTCTTCTCACACCAGCTGCCCCGTATGCCAAAGGATTATATTACAAGATTGGTGTTTGACCCGTGAGTGTGCCGAGATAATTTTTCTTTCTTTTTTCTTTTTCTAAGGGCAGTTATGTTTTTTTTTTCTTCTTCTTCTTCCTCTTTTTCTTTTTTCTGAATTTTGTAGTTGAATTGTCTTTTTTTTTTTTTTTTTTTTTGCTTCTTTCTTTCTTTCTTTCTCTAGGCTTATTTTGTTCATCAGTTGTATTTATTGACATTCATGCTATTTTTGTTATATGTTAGAGTGATGGTACATTAATTGACAAGCTAGATTACCATACTTTATCCAGATACATGTAGATTACTCAGAGTATGCCCAATATAACATGGTAATTCCCCCAACAACAGGAAGCATCGAACACTCGCCTTGATCAAGGACAACAGGCCCATCGGAGGCATATGCTTCAGGATGTTCCCCACTCAGGGATTCTCAGAGATCGTATTCTGTGCTGTAACCTCCAACGAGCAGGTTAAGGGATACGGCACACACATGATGAACCATTTGAAAGACTATCATGTGAAGAATAACATACAGCATTTCCTAACCTTTGCTGATGAATTTGCAATCGGTAAGTACGCTAGCTGTTGGACTGACCTCTTGACCTATTGGTGGAGTGCAGCTTGGGTGGGTGGGTGGGTTGGAGCATGGAGGGGCATGCACTTGCTGGTGGAAGTAGGAAAATGCTAGTAATTGAAGTGTTTGTCTCTATCTTTGAAATGCATAATATATTATATCTTCAGAGGAGGATCGAGCAACAGGAAATGTTGATGTTGATGATGATGTAACCAGAAGTTGTTGGTTAGTAATTAGCAAGTGAATATATTACTAAACTAAGTGTGCTTTCAGGGTATTTCAAGAAGCAAGGTTTCAGCAAGGACATCCAAGTGCCAAGATCGGTTTACCAAGGTTACATCAAGGACTACGAAGGGGCAACACTCATGGGATGTGAGCTCAATCCCAGCATTGTGTACACGGAATTCACAGCAGTCATCCGGCGGCAAAAGGAGGTACCTGTTATACTCACATTTTTATTTCTTTGCGGTATTTTATTAAAAGGAAGTACCTGTCGTAAACCCATTTTCGTTGCTTTATGCTGTTCGGTATACATTGCCTAATGGTATTTGGTACAGAAGGTACCTTTCTTCTACCTATTTTCAGTGCTTTATGATATTTGATACAAATTATATTAGTAAAGTTATTCGGTTGCTGATAAAGTTAACAAACTACAGGATCTCGCATGTATCTCTCTAATTCAGTTCCTCAACTGCAGATACCTGTTACAATCCCATTTTTTTATTTCTTTGCGGTATTTGATTAAAGGAAGTACCTGTCGTAAACCCATTTTCGTTGCTTTATGCTGTTCAACACATATCCTAATGGTATTTGATATAGGAGGTACCTTTCTTGCACCTATTTTCAGTACTTTATGATATTTAATACAAATTATATAAGTTAAGTTTGTTAGTTGTAAGTAAAGTTAACAAACTACAGGATCTCGCATGCATGTCTCTAATTCAGTTCTTCAACCGCAGATAATTAAGAAACTAATTGAGAGGAAGCAGAGCGAGATCCGCAAAGTGCACCCGGGGCTGACCTGCTTCCGCGAAGGTGTGGGAGAGCTGCCCATCGAGAGCATCCCGGGTATCCGAGAAGCTGGCTGGAAACCCCCCGTTCCCGCAACTCGCTCGGCGCGCTCCCCCGACCGCGAGCACCAGGATCCTGACTATTTGTACGGGATGCTGAAGACGCTCCTCAACAATGTTAGTACCTCGTGAATGTGGGATAGAATTAGGCCGTGGTCTATCTGTCTTTCCTTCGTTATGTTTCCTTTATATGTTGGATGTTCATAACGAATAGTTTTACCATTGGGATCTTTGCTGATAGTTTTAAAGAATATGTATTTATTTATTTATTTATGCATTTTTTTGTTTATTTATTATTTATTTATGCATTTTTTGTTTATTTATTATTTATTTATGCATTTTTTTGTTTATTTATTATTTGTTTATGCATTTTTTCATTTACTTATTATTTATTTATTTATTTATTTATGTTTTTTTTTGCTTATTTATTTATGCTTTTTTTTTGCTTATTTATTCATGTATTTTTTATGTA